AGATTTTTTTTCTCTCAGGGTGAGATGGTATGGAAGTGAACCCCAAATGTCTTTTTCTACTGGACTCCAGAAAGCAGGAAGAGAACGAGGTGTAAAACTCTACATTAGTACAGCAGGAGTGGGCAACCTGTAACCTTTTTGAGTGCAGCAAAAAGGCAACTCTCATTAGATCTAGTCCAATTAGATCGCCAGTGATTACAAAATGGATATTGCAATCCAACATCTGGAAAGCCGCAATTTCTTCACCTCTCTATTAGAGCTTCTGGGCAGGGAATTTCAAATTCATCTCTAACATGATTACTAGCAAATAAAGATATTTGAAAAGTGCTCTCTTCTGAGAACTGAGGAAACTTAAGGAAGAAAACATTCCTGCTAAATAATTAAGACCACAATGGAGCCCAAAATTTTGGTTCTTAAGTTAGAAATTTGTCAAGTGAGTTTTGCCCCATTTTACGATTTCTTTTGCCACATTTGTTAAGTGAATCACTGCAGTTGTTAAATTAGTAACCACGTTGTTAAGTGAATCTGACTTTGCATGTCAGGTCGCAAATGGGGATCACATGATCTTGAGGTAGTGCAATGGTGAGTCAGTTGTCAAGCATCTGACTGTAAATCATGTGACCATGGAGGATGCTGCAATCGTCTTGTAACGTGTGAAAAAGCGTGAAAAATGGTCATAAGTTCCGTTTTTCAATGGTGGTGTAACTGAGTCACTAAATGAACTGTTTTAAGTCAAGGACTTAAATTGTATGCCGGATGGAAATCAAACTTTTAAGCAATAGAAGAAGGTCACATAGCCTATTCCTGGATGTTGACATATTTTTCAAGGTCCCTGATGGGAAGAATATTTATGGACCTATTGTCCATAAAAAGAGCCCTACAAGGTAGAATTAAAATCATCTGTCTGCTGTCTGCTACTAGAGCTGATAGCTGAAGTCAGACCAGGGTTGTCTTCAATAAACAAGGAAATGTTTCACTGAACTGTCTTGGATCACCCATCTCCAGATTGTAGTTTCAATTGTAGCTTGCAATCCAACATCTGGAAAGCCACACTTTCTTCACCTCTGTATTAGACCTTCTGGGCAGGGAATTTCAAATTCACCTCTAACATGATTACTAGTAAATAAAGGTATTTGAAAAGTGCTCTCTTCTGAGGAGAATTGAGGTGACTTAAGGAAGAAAACATTCCTGTTAAATAATTAATTAATTAATTAATTAATTAATAATTAATAAAATACCAGTATTATCTTTTAATATTGAAGCTAACCTACGTGGATGTCGACATCCTATAAACCTTTGCCATCAATGTCAATGTCATTTTCTAATATAAATACTGGACCTTTTTTTCAAGGTTCAACGGTAGCTCATGGGAATCATAGTATGGCATGATCAGTAAATAGTAAATGCTTGCAAGTTCACAGAAAATCATTGAAAACACTTTATTAGTCATTTTATTAACCACTTTGTTAAAATAGGGGGATTGCAAAGGTTTTTTTTAAAATTAGTTTTAAGTAGCATCATTATATTATAGAGATTTCATTGGCTGATTCACAGAGCCATGTTTTGAACCAGCCAGAGTGGTTTGAATCGCATAATTTTCAGCTATAAATCCTACTGGCAGGGCTCACACATAATACTAAATCAAATGCTAACAACAAGTATTACTTTGGCACATTTAAAGCCATCTGGGTGACTTAGGGCCAATCACTCTCAGCTCCCCCACCCCATGGTGGTGAAAATTGGAGATGTGTGCATTAAGTATGTACGCCATCTTGAGCTATCAAAATAAAGGTGGAATAAAAATCCATATAAATAGCAAAGTAATTAGCACTGGATGAAATATTAATTTTGAAAAAAGATAATGAAAATGATTCAGATTTAGGAACATCTTTATAGCATGAGCAAGCATTCTTGAGAGCACACACAAACAAAATTGAATTAAAAGATGTAGGAAGGAGACCCTTGAGTAAGAAATAACATTAAGAGGATATGGCTGAAAGATCTGACTGTCAGCACTAGAGTAAATGTAAAGTCTCCAAGACTGAATAAGAGATGATTTCTTGTCCGAGGAACTGATCAGAAATCAGGTTATGTTCGTTCTATATATAATCATATCTTTGGTTCTTTTGGCAATAAATCAACAATCACCTCAAATGTTTATACTGCAACTTGGTAACAATGAAGAAAGATAATTGTGTTTCAATAAGATCTAGCCACTCCTATTGTCATAATTCCATTATTGGTAACAGAGCAATACTTGACCATATGACTTGCTGCTTAGTATTCAGTTGCAGGGTGAGATTAACATTACTTTTATATAGCACAGCTTCTATACGTAGCGTTTCACAAATAATACAATCAAAGGGTCCCTGCTCCAAGAGTCTTATAATCTAAAGCACAAAGAAAAGCAAAAAGAAAGAGTAATTTATTTATTATTTATTTATTTATTATTTAAATTTGTATACCGCCCTTCTCCTGAAGGACTCAGGGCGGTGAACAGCCAAAATTTAAAACACATACAGTATAAAAATTAAAAAGAATTAAAACAGAATTAAATCAGTTTGGCTTCCCTAAATTTTAAAACCCTTTCCCCATAAAATAACCCATTAAAATTTTAAGCCAGCCTGGCTTGCTGGAATAAGAAGATCTTTAACGCTCGGCGGAAAGTACGGAGGTCCGGGATCAGTCGTATTCCTGGGGGTAGCTCGTTCCAGAGGGTGGGTACCCCCACAGAGAAGGCTCTCCCCCTGGGGGTCGTCAGTCGACATTGCTTGACCGACGGCACCCTGAGGAGACCCTCTATGAGAGCGAATTGGCCGGTGGGAGGTTATCGGTGGCAGAAGGTGGTCTCGTAAGTACCCGGGCCCTAAGCCATGGAGCGCTTTAAAGATGAGAACCAATACCTTGAAGCGCACCTGGAAGACCACCGGGAGCCAGTGCAGCTCCGCAGGAGAGGTGTTACATGGGAGCGCCATGTCGCCCCCATAATTACCCGCACGGCCACATTCTGGACCAGCTGGAGCCTCCGGGTATTCCTCAAGGGGAGCCCCATGTAGAGAGCATTACAGTAGTCCAGGCGAGAAGTGACGAGGGCGTAAGTGACCGTGCATAAGGAGTCCCGATCCAGAAAGGGCCGCAACTGGCGTATCAGGCGAACCTGATAAAAAGCCCCCCTGGCCACGGCCGTCATATGCTCTTCTAAAGACAGCTGTGCATCCAGGAGGATGCCTAAGTTACGAGCCCTCTCCGTGGGGGCCAATGACTCGCCCCCAGCTGGCTATATCGGGACGCTGGCAAGCACAGCCACTTGGTCTTGGAGGGGTTGAGTCGGAGCCTGTTCCTCCCCATCCAGACCCGCATGGCTTCCAGGCATCGGGACATCACTTCAAGGGCATCGTTGGGGTGGTCTGGGGTGGAGATGTACAGCTGAGTGTCATCAGCGTACAGATGGCACCGCACCGCACCCCAAATCCAGTAATAAAGATGAACAGAGGAAGAAACTTTCAGAGAACTTGCCCTGTCAATGTATTGCAATGAAAACAGAAATTGTACAGTACACCAAATTAGGATTAAACTTCATGCATCTGATTAGGTTGGATTTTAAGGTGCAATAATGCCCTAGATGTGATTATTATGATTGCATGTAGTTTTTAGTTATAACAAGGTCCTAAATTGTTCCAAAGCCTTTCTGGAAAAAAAAAAGATATGAATTCTCATAACAGAAACAAAAAGATAGGTACTAATTTTGAAATAATGGAATCAGATATTTTTAGATTCTGATAATTGGGATCAAGAATGGTTGAGATGAATGTTGAGACGGTTACTATATTTGGGAAATAAATTGCTCTTTAGTTATTAAATTTATACACACCAAATTATATTTAAGTAAGTTTAATGTAGTACCAAAATATAATACATTAAAGGCCGTGATTTCTAAAGAAAAACACTTTTAAAGTAATATATTACTACTTTCACTCATTAAATAAAAAAACCTTTTATAACTGTATGAAGATAAATCATTATTTTAATCTTGGGATAGAGGTGTTTTGTGCAATGGCTGCCATAAATCTCACATATTACAGGTGTGTCCCTAATTTTTCAATATTTGCAATCACAATAATTATAGCAATAATTAAATACCTTCTCTCACAAAGTACTAAGCCTGGGTTAGCCTTTGGCAACAGCTGCACACTCCCAGGTCTGGACTGATTGCTCCACAGGAATGTATTAAAGGGCTCAGAAAGAGTTGCTTTATTCAGAGGGTGCAAAGCTGCGGAGCAACTACCTGTAATGTCGTGCCAATCTGCAGCATGCTAATCACGCTTAATCCCTTCCTGTCATTTTCTTGCTACGAATGTCACACTTTGAATGCTTATATTTCAATAGAATGTAAGTATTGTTTTTGTCTGGTTGGGAGGCCATGGGCATAAAAATTCCAGATGTGGAAAAAAAAAACCTGGTAGCATCTCTCCACTATTAGAGTTGAGTGGTATCAGCGGGCTGCTCAATTCCCTCTCATGGGAATTGCATTGACAGTGAATGAATCTGTCAAGAGCTAAACCAGCTTGAATTATTTGAAAGATAACTTTGTCTTTCAAGAGAGAGACAGTATATCAGAGTATGGGAGGGTGAGGAAAAGGAATAGGAAAAACGTGATACAAATACATATGTATCTAAGGGTTATTTGAGGGATCATCCATTCTCTGGATTACATCTGCCCATTCCATCAAATCTAGCAGAGAGGATCATAATATTAATATTTGTTTGTATATATTGTTTTTAGCTTTGTTATATGTCACTCAGTCATTTGTAAATATGATGAATAAATAAATAACATAGGAAACTGTATCACTTGAATATACTCTGGTAGCAGAAAAACACGCCAAGTGGCAAGTGGAATACTCTAAATTGTTGTTACACAGGGGACTTTGTGAATATATATGAAATTTTCAATTGCTACCTAAAAGAAAATTATTTTTAAAAATCAAGGATACTCCAGATACATTTGTATATTTTATTTTTAACAATAGAACAGAGATTGATAAGATTCAAAATATGCATTTAATGTTTCTACCTTGTATCTTTTATATGTGCAAACCGCAATGTGATATGGCCAATAATAAATATGTTTTACCTATTTTTCCAGTCATCATCAGTTAAAAGGAAATGTTCTATTTGGTCAATAAATTTTTCATGCTAGACTGAATAAAATTATATCTATACATTGGCATTAAAGGGGGACAGTAACTAATGCTGTAGTTTTTAACACTAACATGATACATAAAGTGTCAAGTTAGTTAATGTGCTTGAAGCCCTTTTTCTTTTCAGTTACTGTTTATTTTTAACCTTTGGCTGCAACTTTTTTTTTGCTCCGATCCCCATCTTTCCAGTATTGCTCTGTCTGCATTTCGGTAAGTCGCGAGATAGTCCGTTGAAAGGCAAATATCTCTTCCTCTCCCGTAAACATAGAAAGTGCTTCAGCTGAATCCTAGAGACACATAAAAAGAAAAATACAAGAATTTTTTGGGGAAAAAAAAGCCATTGTGGGCTTCTTGCATGGATCCTCAGTAATGAAATTCCACTGCACAGCAAGACAACGAACTCTTTAGTACAGATCGCCCTTGTTCAGCAACCAAACTTGTTTTGCAGTTAGGACGGTGATGAAAAAACGTTATGGTCACTCCCTGTATTTATGATCTTTACAGGTGTGCAAAGAACTTAGTAATCACTTCACTTAACGATCAAGTTGCCAGTCCCAATTGTGATCACTAAATGGGGATAACCTATAGTGAAGAGAAAGACACATAGGCCACCAAACCACTTTGCAACTGGAATCCTTGGCTCAAAGGGTAGCCTCACTTGTATCCAGCTCATATCTACATACTCCAGTGTCAGGGTTCCAACGGATGCCCTAATTAAATCATGAGTCTCGAGCCAAGCTTAAAAAGAAATCTAATTATTTATTAGGAGCTTTATGTTGGCACGTTCCCAAATGAAGCCAGCCCTGACCCTCTGTAATTTATGCTCCAATTATGACCCTGTTTTTCCCCTACCCCCAGGGTGTGTCATCAATCACATTCGCCAAAGGGGCAATTTCGCGGGTTGTAGCAGTCACTCCTCTTGGGCTGCTGTAGGTAAACTTGGGATACAGCCTTGAGGAGATAAGCGTGGAATGTGCATTTGTCTTTGGCTGCTGTGCCATTTTGCTGGTTTCCCATCCCCCCTGGCCTATGGCAACTCGAGAGCAGGCCAGGGATGCTTTGCAAGTTGACATCCAGTTTCTGAAACATTAACAGGAAACAGAGCTCCAACTCCCATTATTTTATAAACACACCCAAACTTTATATACGTGCATTTGTTGATGCTTTTTTTGTGTTTGTATGTCTAATGTGTTTTATAAGTGTTGTATACTGTGATTGCAGGACCTCTGTAGATTGCCATACGCTAAATAAATAAATAAAACTCCCATTACCTAACATGAAGGGTGGGGAGGGTAGAAATATAAAAAATGTATCCATGCCTTTGTTTTTTACACTTCACTGGAATGGAATTACCTTTCAGGTAACCAGGATGGCTAGAAGAGCCAAATCCCAAATTTCATAGGAAACAGTGGAGAGGATGTCAGGTATTAGGGTTTTTAAACTTCTTTAACTACCTGTCCAGACCATTTTTGTTGCATTTCCAGTAATACATTTTGAGGGAAGGGTAGAAAGAGATGAAGAATATAAGCTGAAGTAATAACAAGTGAGAAAGAGAATGAGAAAGTTAGAAAAACAGAACAGCTGGTGTGCAGGTAAGACTCTTGACACATAAACAACTTTATAAAAAGATCCTGGACTACAGTGGACAAAGACCGCTGTGGCAGTGAATATACATCCATTGCTCTCTCCATTCCCATGAACTCAAAAGCCGTCTCAAATCTGCTGGACTGAGGCAAATTGTCAGAAGAGATCATCTGATGATGAACCTGTCCCATCAGGTGTAGCAGAACATGTGCTATATGGTACTTTCTGGGGGGGGGGGAAGTCCCCTTTTGAGTTTGTTATCCTGTCCTTTCCAGTGAACTGTGTGAACTACCTTTGTTTTTCATGAAAAAAAAGGATTTTTCTTCCACAAACCATCCCTGGAGATTTCAAAAGGCAGCTAGACAGCCATCGATTGGGAATGTTTCCATTTGAATTCCTCTTCTGAGCAAGGGGTTAGATTCAATAGCTTGATGGCACCCACAAACTCCAGGATTTGGGTGCAAAGTCAGCATAAGACTTTATAGAGATAAGGGTCCAGGCTCTCTTGAAGAAAGCTTACTGACAGGTTACAAAAGGATTGTTCCTGTCACTCACCTGTGCCTTTTTTGATAAAAGTCATCAGAACTCCAAAATGATACCTATACAGTAGTGGCCAAAATTGTGGAAACCTTTTGGGAAAAGTGTATTTTTGAGGTTTGATGGCTAATAACACCACTTTTTTGGGAGTTTCAAGATAATCATATTCTACTGCTGGAATGGCCTGGGAATAACCCAGACCTTAACCCAACTGAAAATCTATGGAGCCGAATAAAGAAACTTGTTAGTTAGAAGCGACTCAGCAATAAAACCCAGTTAATAGAAGCAATCATTCAATCTTGGTTTCACATTATAACAGCTGCAGAACTAAAAGATTTGGTTCACTCCATGGGAAGACGTTGTAAATTCATGCTAAAGGTTACCCAACTACCGTATTTTCCGGCGTATAAGACGACTTTTTAACACATGAAAATCTTCTCAAAAGTCGGGGGTCATCTTATACGCCGGGTGTCGTTCTCCTGTAACCAGGCAGACCAGCCCGAAAGGCTCTGACGAGCCTTAAATGGCTCTGGCGATCCCAGCTCTGACGATCCCAGCTGAGTTCCCTGCAACTCAGCTGGGATCGCCAGAACCATGGCTCTGACGGTCCCAGCTCTGACGGTCGATCCCAGCTCTGACGATCCCAGCTGAGTTCCCTGCAACTCAGCTGGGATCGCCAGAAACCATGTAAAAGGAAAAAAGTTTTTTCCCTTTTACTCTGACGATCCCAGCTCTGAGGATCCCAGCTGAGTTCCCTGCAACTCAGCTGGGATGGCCAGAGCCATGTCAAAGGGAAAAAGTTTTCCCCCTCCAGCTTGCTTACCTCAGCTGCTAGTCGCAAGGCTTGCCTTGCTTTGCTTGCCTGAATCTATTCAGGCAAGCAAGCAACTCCCTGCCTGCAATCAAGCAAGGAGGGAGTTGTGGACTTCAACTCCCAGAATTCCTCAGCCAGCAAAGCAAAGCTGGCTGAGGAATTCTGGGAGTTGAAGTCTACAAGTCTTAAAGTTGCCAAGGTTGGAGACCCCTGTTCTATTGGGTAAGTTTTTTCCCCCTTTGGGAGCTTTAAAAAAAATAGTCAATTGGAGTTTTTTAGTTGTTCTTTTTTAGACCTAGCCATTTAAAGTTTAGGAAGTTTTAAATTTAGCTTTCATATAAAAATAAAAATAAAATAAAATAAAATAATATTTGTGCAGCTTTCTGAGATTTAGTGTGTTTCTGTAGTGTTTCACTCCAACTACACAAACACACAAAATCTCACAAAGCTGTATGTGGAATTTTGTGTGTGTAAAGTATGAAAGTTGGTTTTTTGGACTTTTTGTGGCTGTGTGAGGTTCCTGCTTGTTGCAGGGGCCATTTTGGGTCTAGCACAGCTGCTTTTACATTGTGGGTGAGCCAGTTGTGTTGTGTTGTGTGTGTTTAGAGTGTGAAAGTTTTTTGGGGGGGCTTTTTGTGGCTGTGTGAGGTTCCTGCTTGTTACAGGGGCCATTTTGGGTCTAGCACAGCTGCTTTTACATTGTGGGTGAGCCAGTTGATGTTTTTTAATTTTTATTTGGTGTGCATTGGAAGAGGGGCAGTCTTATATGGCGAGTATAGCCCAAACCCTATATTTTAACAGGAAAAGTTGGGGGTCGTCTTATACGCCCAGTCGTCTTATACGCCGGAAAATACGGTAAGTATTAACTGACATGGTAATTTTTGTATATCTCATTTTTTCTGTGTTTCACTTTTCTTCTTTATATTGTAACTACTATTCTAATACCAAATCCTTCATAAAAGTTATTGCATTACATTCTTGATTAAATTATCTTTCCATTGATATATAATTTTATGGTACTACTAGAAAAAAAAGTGGTGTTATTAGCTAGTTTTAGAAAATACACTTTTCCCAAAAGGTTTCCACAATTTTGGCCATTACCGTATAGGTATCGTTTTGGAGTTCTGCGGCCCTGATGACCTTTATCAAGAAAGGCACAGGTGAGTGACAGGAACAATCCTTTTGTAATCTGTCAGCAGTTTAGCAAACGTAGTAGTTACTGCCCATGAAATCTATTTTCATTGGGAAATGCTGGTAGTAATTTTTCATATGCAGCAGTTAACTCAAGAATTCTCACTCTGCAATTAATATCTGGGGGGGGGGAGAGAATAATAAAAGATTCACAAAAAGATATTGCGCATTAATGAATATTTATGAATGTTTGCAGTGGGGTTTTGCTTTGTTTTATATTGCATATTGTAGGAGGTAGTGTGTATCAGCTCTTTTCCATATGAATCTAAAGAAAAAAGACACTTATAGATGCTCCCTATTCTAACAGAGCTTCTAACTGATACACAGCTTAAAACAAGTACAATGAACTGCATTTGAGTAATTTGTAACAGTTGACCCAACATTTTCAATGCATTAGAAATATATTCTTAGATTTGTGGACGTTTATGGATCCTAATCCATGAATAAATAGCATTACCTTAAATTACGGCAGAGGAAAAAATGCTACATTGAACCTGCAGGAAAGCTACAGACTGACCCTCTAAATGTTTTTTTGTTTTACAATAATGCCAGCACATAGACCCAAACCAATTATGCTCTCTTGCAACAAAGGCACTAATGTTCCTAGTGCTTACCTGGCTCAACCCCAAATCATCCATCAGTACCCTTTTCTCATCCAGTCCACTATCATGGTCCGCTTGAATAAATATACTCTGGAGGGGAGCTGATGCAGAGCAAATAAGACGCACCTGGAACAAAGAATAATGGCTGAAGTTCATCAATTAGAGTTCTTATTTCTCCATTGAATCTCTCAACCCTCTTTATTTTCTTTTATTTTTAAATGGAATACTTTTTAAAGTTCATTTGGAGCAACTGGTTTCTGATTCTGGTGGTACAGGTTGCACTCATTAACAATGCAGAAGGATGTAGAGGTGGTGCTATCATTCAATTACAAATAACTTTTAATATTGAAATATTTTTATTATTTATCTTACTTCTGTAATAGCTTTTAAAATAAAAAAACAAAAATACAGTAGATCCATGATAGCGAACCTATGGCATGCGTGCCACAGGTGGCACACAGAGTCCTCTTTGTGGGCACATAAACCATCGCTCAGCTCAACTCCACCCTGCATGGATGTGCCTCCCGCCGGCCAGCTGATTTTTGGGTCTCTGCTGCGCATGCACAGGGGGGTGGGGCGCATGTGGGAGACGCACGCATATGCAGGGGTTTGTGCGCGCATGCGTGGGGGCACGAGGGAGCGCGGGGGGGGGTGCGGCACCCCCCTGTGGCCCATTTTGGGCTTAGCAGGCCTCTCGGCAGCCTCCTGGGCCATGGGGGTGGTGGTGGTGGTGGTGGTCGCACGTGCATTGTATTATGGGTGCAGGCACATGTGCGCGCACTTTCAGCACACAACGGCAAAAAGGTTAGCCATCACTGCACTAGATGCTGAATTGCTATTTCAAACTCGATCAAAAAGGTACTTATTTTATTTATACATCAGGCCATCGCTCTAAATCATAGGTGTCAAACTTGCAACATCACATTGCCATCATGTGAAGTTTTGTGACATTTTTCCCATTACCGGAGGTGGGGAGGGTGTGGCATGCACGTGACGCATCTGGCCCGTGGGCCGCCAGTTTGACACCCCTGCTCTAAATCATCACTAAATCAAATTTAGATAGCAATCTGTTTTCATTCATTTTTTAAAAATATTTTTGCCGTATACAGTATTAAGATCCAGGAAAAATCAAATGAGGGATTCCAAAACCTTTCAGCCCAGTGATAAAACCAAGAAAGCAGGGAAACATGTATAGTTCTAAGACACACACACCTTCATTCAATAATGCCAGACATCCAGATATTATGTTTCCTTCAAATATGAAAACCTTTAGATCCAGCTGTCCAAGAGCTCCAAAACACTGGAAAGCAAACCAGGTCTCTTTAGAATCTCCTCACAAGGGCTGCATAGATTCTTAAATGCCTGCTTCGTTCTACTACCCATTTTGGCATGACATCTTACAGGTGCAGCATTTTTCATTCAATTAAAGCAAAAATTCCTGAGAAAATACTTGCCTGGCAGGATAGAGATGCAGATCAATTGTGAGCAATTGCATTTTTTTAAAAAATGTGCAGGTAGCAGTCAAGGAATCTTTTCCAACTTTAACTTTTGAAAATTGCAGCAGGCTAATAATACTAGTCTTTGGAAAGCATACTTTTTTCCCCAGGACTTTTGGAATGACTACAGTATATGACAATGACATGCTTTTCTGCTGTCCTCCCAGGAAGGGCCATAGAGATTGGGACTTTCGTAAATGATCTAGATGTCTTAAATATAGCTCCAGGTGATCCTTGTTAATTTAAAATAGAGAGGTAACCCTCTTTTTTTAAATTTTGAGATGAGAATAAATTCTGATTAGGCAATACTTGAGGACAATGATATCATTATGGATTCTTTTACACAACTAACATTATTTGTCTTTATGAGATTTACCTCAGAATGGAAACAGTTTGCTTGTTTCTTTCTCTTAGCTCTTGTGAGGTATTGTAATAAATATGTCATGCTTCTGGAAGACACAGTCATTAAGCACCCTCTTCAGTGATGGGTTGCTCCCGGTTCAGTCCGGTTCTTGTGAACCGGTAGTAATGGTGGTGGGAGACTCCGCCCACCTGCCCAGATGTCATCATGAACGATTTGCACATGGGTAGAAGCGCGCACGCGACCAAAGCAAGCGATGCGCACGCGTGTGCGCTCCCGTTGCAAACCGGTAGCGGAGGTAACTAAAACCCACCCCTGACCCTTTCCTTTAATTGTAGTCTCACTATGGATGCACTTGTTGGATTTCGGAGAAGCAAAAGTTAGCCTATTTGCTTCCTTTCAGATGCTCCTACTTGTTCAATAGGAAAAGGTTATACTTGTGCACGGCTCTCTGCTGAGGGGGAATTATTAATAGAAGCCAGGATGTTGGGAATTTTATTCTGACCTAAACAGAACTCATTTGCATTTTCAGGGGTCATGTATGGATAACAACATAATCAGACCATTTCCCCATTTCAAAGTAATTCTCAACCCATATGCAATTAAAAATTAAAATTAAAATGCATACATATATTTCAAATGAAATATAATTAAACATACTATACTTAAATGTAAAAATACATTTAAAGAGACACATTTAAATACATAATTTTGCCATAGCCATTTTAAAAAAATCTGTAGATTCATCTGGAAACAGGAGAAAATAATCCTATGAATGCACTTTAAAAGCAGAAAACTGACATGGAACAGAAATAGACTGATCTCTCCCATCGTATGTCCATGAAAAAACTGATAAAAGTTCTTATGGGCCATAAAGACAGTATATAGGGAATATTTGTTTTACTCTCTCTCTCGTGTTAGCCAGGAAGGATAAGAAATCTCTATTGTAGTTTTTACTACCTTGCAGATTCCCTGGTATGGTAGAAAGAAGCATCACCCAATGGGTTAATCTTCCCCAGTGCTGCAGCTGCAGAGGTATACTTTAAACTGTCACTATGTATTTGAGGGGACAATTAGGTTGCTCTTTTTCTTTTCTTGGAGAATATTTAGTCTAAAGAACAGAACATGATCCTGGAAGGAAATGGATTGCAGAAATGAACAAAGTTAGCGTACAGATAGGAAGGTAAATCCTTCAGAAAAGTATCCATGTAAGGGCGATCACTGATATGGGAACGGTATGCTTAGAAAAGCAGGATGTCAGGATATAGCAAATGAAATACGACATGTAAGAAGCCCAAGGGATCATACAACAGAAATCCATTGAGGCAGGCAGAAAGGACAGACTTGAGAGCTAAAAGGGGACAGTGATCTACCTTAAAAAACCACAGCCATAGAACAGTACAATGCTGCTTAAAATGCACAAAAAGGATAGAAACATTGGTGTTCCTTCACTGGGAGGCTAAAACCAGGAGCTCTGATGTTGTGTGGTACTTGGGAAACAATGCTTGTGGGAAAGTCCAAACACGTTACACATGTAGCATTAGAGGAAAGAAGTAATCCTGCTTTGTTCTGCTAATAAAAAAACATCACTCTGACATCTGTTCATAAAGAAGTGCTATGCTGCTCAAGGAGCTAAAGGTTCTTCTAAAACCAATGAGTGGCATTTAGTCAGCAGAAAATGTATTTTCTGGAAATGGCCCACATTTCTTGCTGAACAAGACGGGATGTGCCTCTGTGCCCGTGTCCGTGCATTACTTTCCCGGTACATTTTTGAAAAAGAATTTAATCTCAATCGATATGTCCTGATTGCATAAATATTTAAGTGCATGTCTATAATCACACATAAGGTGAAGCTTAATAATCTTCCATTACGTTTTAAAACATCAGCTTAAATACAAAGAACCTTTAAGTTGTTTTAATATTGCTGATTTTCCTTCCATGATTGAAACCTTCGTAAATCTAAGTGCCGCATTTATCATTACTATTTCATTAGAGGTTCCACAACTCAGACTAAAAGTAAGAGTAGTTGTTTATTCTAAATTGAGTATCACTTTGGGGCAAATTCATTAACATTTTACTCATCTGTGCATTTTGGAAAATAAATCAACACATACACCCGCATGCAAAATAACCTGGAGTAACTACCCAACAAAAGTCTGTAAGTGGTTTGAACAGAACTATTGTCTGGAGTCAAAACACTGTGCAATTTCTCAGCAAAAGCAGTTAACGCAATTTAATCGGATGAATTTGACACGATAGGCAGCGGCAAAATAGACTGAATGTTTTCTTTATCTTAAAATTATTAAGGAAAGAATTCAGTAGATAGCAATGCTTTTGCTCTCCTATTCTTAAGAAGACAGATAAAATGCTCCCCACATCCCATATTATGATTCAGGGTCACTAAATGAAAATGTTTAGCAGGAGATCCAAGGAAGAAAAAAAATCAAAGGCCAAATTGAACTATTTATCCTATCTTTTTTATATTCGATCAACTACAGGAAGACAGTTAATTCAAGTCCCATTTTTAGTGCAAAGCGATAAGCTGTGAATGATTTTATGACAGACACTCTTTCTCAGCTTTAGGAAGCAGGCAGCAATGACAAACGTGTGTGTGTGTGTGTGTGTGTGTGTGTGTGTGTGTGTGTGTGTGTGTAGATGGTAGTTATCTACATTTTTGATATACCCTGAAAACAAGCAGATAGGGTTTTCCACTGCAGAACCGCCAGATGAAGATGAAGGAAATCAGCATAATGTCCTGACTAACCTTTTCCACATAAATCCAAACAAAAAGTCTGAAAAGGCCCCATTATCATGGACACCTCAGAAGTAGACTAGGTGATGAAAGGCTGGAAGCAAATTCACTGTCTCTTTCAGTCATCCTAAAACCCCAAACCATGTCATTTTAAAAAGGGATGAAGATGAACTTTCCGGGTGGACTCTTCTTCACTCAGAAGGGAAACACTGTGTTTCTAGTATGAAAAGTTATTTGAGGTATGCCCATTTCCTCAGGAGAAGAACATATGGTAGATCTGCCCTTTCCTGGGCTGATCTGCCTGCTTTATTTATTTTTTTAATTCTATAGTCTTTCATACAAACCTATAGGAATTTTGGAGGCAAGTACATCTGCACAAACGTTTGTTTGAAAAATTTTGATTTGTAACATACCTTTTGTTTTTAATTTTTCAAGAGATTGCTATTGTAAGGGTTTGGTTTTGTTTTTGCAACAAAACCAATAAAATAATTTTGTGGCATATTTTTCTCCCATATGTTGCAAATTCAGCGACATCTGTTTGGTTATCTTAATTCTAATCTTTACTAGCCATGGACAATGTTGCTGCTTTATCTAGCAGTAAAAAAAAAGTAATAGTTTCCCTGTCAGTCATACCCAATCTAGGGTGCGATGCTCATCTCCGTTTCTTGGCTGAGGCAGCCAGCGTTGTCCAAAGACTATTTCCATGGTCATGTGACCAGCATGGCTGTATGTCAAAAGTGCACGGAATGCTGTTACCTTCCCACCAAAGTGGTACCTATTTATCTACTTGCATTTGCATGCTTTAGAACTGCTAGGTGGGCAGGAGCAGTAATGGGAGCTCACTCCATTCCGCAAAGCTCGGTTCTCAAACCTGGGCTGTCAGCTCTCCAGCTGACAAGCTCAGTGTCTTTAACCACTGAGCCGTTGTAAATTTTAATGCAGCTGGCAGCTAAAGGAGAAAATGCAGTAATTTAAATTCAATTAGACAACACATTAATCTTAACAGTCAAGGCTTTAATAGCTCACATGGCAATGCAGTATGATCCATGAATATATGCTGATGCTTTTTGCCAGGCATTAATTAATTAATTAACATTCAGCATTTCCAAAATAATTCAAGATGCATTCATCTTATAAAAGATCCCGGACCTGCGCACGTTTCGCCGTGCTCTCAAAACTTTTCTATTTCAGCAAGCTGGCCTGGCCTAACTCCCATCTTTTAAATTTTTAAATTTTTTAATTCGTGATTTTACAAATTGGGTGTTTTAATCTGTGTTTCGGCCGAAATATTTAATAATTTTAAGGGATTTTTTAATATTTGTATTATCTGTATTTTATCTTGGCTGTTCACCGCCCTGAGTCCTTCGGGAGTAGGGCGGTATAGAAATTTGATTAATAAATAAATAAATAAGAACCTGCAAACCAAATGCTTACCTTTTTTTCATAAAAAGTATCAATGAGAGTGATGAAGCGTCGAGCTTGGGTTCTTTTTGCCATTGTAAGGAGAGGTATATTATGAACAAAAACCAGATCAAAATTCTTAGATATTTCCAAATAATCACTGGCTCCAAGAGGCTGAAATGGGAAATAAGCAGCAGGAAATCAATAGATTGACAGCTTACATTTCAAAAGGCAACAAAAATGCTGTTTTCTGTTTAAAATTGGCTTTTCTTGTCATAATCAATCAAATGCTTTTCTATTTTGCTTCCCCCTCAGAAAAGGAGGGGGAAACTAAATATATGGATTTTAATAAACATGCACATTTTGTTCTAATTGATTAAGACCGTATTTTTCCTTTATTCCCATATTTATACTGTAATAAAGAAGGATAAGGCTGAAAGAAAAATAAAGATGTAAGGATAGCAAAACATCATTTACCTCACGATAATCTTATTTGGACAACCCCACACTAATACAGCTCGCCTTCTACAACCATTTCTGAAGCAAAAGGTAAAAATGTATATAGGTAGTCCTCGGTTAGCGACTATTCATTTAGTGACTGTTTGAAGTGGTGGCAGCAATGAAGAAAAGCTATGTCTGGTCCCTGAAGGCTGTTGCATCACCCCATGATCATATGATAAACATTTGGCTGCCTGGAAGCCAGCTCACCAATTGCAACTGCCAGTGAGTTTCAACTCCCCTCACCAGTCTATCTCCTCCCCATCTCTGCCCTTTGGGCTGCCCTGCACAGTGACATCATTGGCAGTTCCACAGCTGAAGTAAAGGTCCAGAGCTTTCAACAGTGTCAGCCAGCTGCTATCACCCATGGACCACTACTTCAGCTCCAGAGTCACTTAATGTCACCTGAAGACCTTAGCTATGGCTAGCCACCCCAGTGCCATAGGGTAAAGTCCCAGGCATTCCCACTGCCCTGTGCTCTACTGGCCCTGTCACCCACAGCTGACCTTCACCATTTTCTTCCTCCTGTTGCTGACAAAGTTTGCCCAGAAGGGGAATTAATCAAATTTGCAAATGACACCAAGCTGGCAGCAATAGCCAAAATGTAAAGAAAAGTAAGATTTTTACTTAAGGCAAGAAAAACCAAATGGACAGGTATAGAATAGGGGGAACTTGACTCCATGGCAGTAACTGCAAGAGGGATCTACAGGTCCTAGTGGACAATCACTTAAATATGAGCCAGCAGTGTGCTCAAAAAAGCCGACGCAATCCTAGGCTGCATCAACAAAGAGACAAAATCAAGAACATGTGAACTGTTAGTACCACTTTATAATGCCTTGGTAAGATAACATTTGGAATATTGCATCCAGTTTTGGTCACCACAATATAAAAAAGATGTTGAGTCTCTTGAAAGAGTGCAGAGAAGAGCAACAAAGCTGATTAGGGGGACAGAGGCTAAAACATATGAAGAATGGTTGCAGGAATTGGGTATGTCTAGTCTACTGAAAAGCAGGACTAGGGGTGACATGATAGCAGTGTTCCAATATTTGAAGGGCTGCCACAAAGAGGGGGTCAACCTATTCTCCAAAGTACCTGAAGGCAAGAGAAGAAACAATGGATTTGACTTTTTTATTGCTATTTTGGTTTTTAGCACCTGTGGTAATTTTGATTATACCTTGATTGGGTTTGTAGGGGTTTTCCCCTCTTCATGATTTGATTTCTTTACTTTTTATATTGCATTGTCACAGGACTATAGAATAGAGTTGGACGGGACCTTGGAGGTCTTCTAGTCCAACCCCCTGCTCAGGCAGGAAAGCCTATACCATTTCAGACAAATGGTTGTCCAATCTCTTTATAAAAGCTTCCAGTGTTGGAGCATTCACAACTTCTGAAGGCAAGTCGTTCCACTGATTAATTGTTCTAACTGTCAGGAAATTTCTCCTTAGTTCTCAGTTGCTTCTCTCCTTGATTAGTTTCCATCCATTGCTTCTTGTCCTGCCCTCAGATGCTTCTCAAGAGTTTCTCAAAAGCATTATTCTTGTCAACTGCCTCTCACAACCATTGGGAGAGTGCTGAGCACATCTGGGGAGAAGAAATAGAACCAGTCATAGAGTACATGACATGGGCAGTAGAGCTTAGGTGTCTTCACAAAGGTATCTACATCTCTTAGTAAGATCTGCTTTTGAATCGTATCAACAAACCAAACCACTTCTATTCTTAAAAACAAAATAAAGAATACAAGCACATAAATCTCACATAAATCCAAATCCAAAGGCTCTGTAAAAGGGAAACAAATCTTCAACTTGAAAAAAGGTGGAGTTGACAGAAGTCTAGCGTATAACCTGATACTGAAGATATAGGAAGCTGCTTTATAGACAATAGCACTTAGACTTATATACCGCTTCACAGTGCTTTACAGCCTTGTGGGGTTGTAAGCGGCTTACAGAGTTAGCATATTGCCCCCCAACAATCTGGGCCCTCATTTTACCTACCTTGGAAGGATGGAAGGCTGAGTCAACCTTGAGCCGGTCAGGATCAAATTCCTGACAATGACCAGTGAATTAGCCTACAATTCTGCATTCTAACCACTGCGCCACTACGGCTCTTATATTATACCATCAAATGTTAAATCTAGTTTGCTTAATACTGTCCATTTTAACTTCAAGCAGTTTGCAAAGTTTTAGCCTGGTGTCCTTCTCAACTACACTCCAAGAAAATTTTTTAACTGACAGCGAAAAGGGCTTGAATCTGGAACACTGATGCTCTAACTCTTCACAGTGCAGTGAATATACTGAAACGATCCTCATTCAGCAGTTGTGGAAAGGCTGTATAATTTTATATTCTCTGGGTATACGTTCTTGAAAAACATTGCAATTTTTTTGAAGGAGCCAGACGAGTTACTGAAGCTACCTGGAATCCAGGACTTTGTTTTCTATGAAGGATTAGCCCAGTATTGTAGGCTGCATAGAGAGCTTGTAATGGTGGTGTGCTTTATTATGAAAATATCACCTCTTTGAAGAACATGCTGTTCTCTTTTAATAGCCTACGTTTGAGAAAATATTTCTTAAGTCATGTAATTTGCTCCGTAAACAGCCAATGTGTTCGACCTGAATACTCAGTGTAATTCGGGTACCTTCTTGGAATGTAAATTTCCAATTCAAGTTTCAGAGGAGATTGCATGACACATTGTTCCACCTTCTTATAATCATCTGAGAGACCAACAACTGTGGGCCTCTGGATGTGGCAAAGTTATAAAACCAGCAACCTTACGCAGCAATAGGTATATTGACTAACACAGTGAGTTTTACTTTACTAATGTTTGGAATTTGACAGGTTCCCAAGTCTTATGTCTATAACACACTGTAGAAAATGAATATATGTGTAAGATAACAATTATGGGAATCATAACTGATATTAGACTTTTGTATCATTATGCTTGTCATTCCCAGTCCTTCCTTGCAATTCTCTGATCAAATTTGGAGAGCACTCACCAGCCAGCCTCTATTTATACTTCACACTTAAATTAGTTTTATGACATTTTAACTTTTTCAAATGTTAATAGAGAAAAGAAAATACTGACTTTCCTGCATTGTTTGTAACAGTAACAGTAACACAGTTGGAAGGGACCTTGGAGGTCATCTAATCCAACCCCCTTCTCACGCAGGAGACCTGTACTAGGGATTTGAACCGCCGAACTGCTGACCTTTTTGATCGACATGCTCAGTGTCTTAGTCACCGAGCCACCTAGTCAGGCAGTTTGTGATTTACAAGTTGGTTTTTCTGTCTTTTTGCTACCATAGAAAAGATGGATGATGGGAGAGTCTGTTGTAGCTATTTCTCCTGATAATCCTTATTATGGAGGAGTAGGATTTTATTAACATTAGGCTAACTCCAAATTCATTTATGGCAATTCAGCCTCATCAATTAGCCCATTTTAGCCTACAATCTAAGTGATTCCTTTTTCAATTTATCTGCCAAGTTAACAAAAGTATAACTGTCATTATCTCGGTTCAAGTTTTTTTAGAGGTATATATTAAAGCATTCTTGGAAATAATGAGCAATAGATATTTTTCTATTAGTGCCATATTAGGATGGTGATAACTTTGAGTGTTTTTACATCTGAAGAAAGTGACAGCCTTCTCCTTTGCAGAGGAATTATTCATCAACAGCATCATCAGCTTAAAAAATCATTATAAAAGAACAGAAAACTGAGGGAAGTACTACTGTTAAATCTTAAATCTGTCCTGTGCAATTTATTTAGAGATAAGAAAATGTACATCCAGACTTACTTATTGTTCTAATAGGCAAGGCAATTATTGGTTTTGGCACTCTGAAGTTCCTCCATTTTATTTAGAATGGATCTCTATTTTATTTAGAATTGATTACTTCTGTTAAGATGCAAGAATAAGGGTTAATTTGAATACTGCAAACTAATTTTGTAAGAAGCAGCTTCGACATCATCGTTTGGACAGAGAATATAACCAGGGAGGCAATTGTGTTGATTTTGCAATCATAAACATTTCACAATTATTGTCAATGATAAAAACATGCCTGTAATTGTAGAATCCATTTTTTAAAATTTACTTTAAGCACCAGCGTAACTAGAGGGCTCTAGATGCATTTCTTAAGGTTGCTGGTGAACAAGCCCTCAGTTTTCAGTTTATTCCCCCTCTTCAATAAAACAGCAAACAAATCAATACAATATAGAACTCCAGAATTATAACCTTCACTTATAACATAAAAGATAAAGGTTGTCCTTGCAAATATGTGCTAGTTGTTCCTGACTCTAGGGGGAGGTGCTCATCTCCATTTCAAAGCTGAAGAGCCAACGCTGTCCGAAGACGTCTCCGTGGTCATGTGGCCGGCATGACTAAACGCCAAAGGCTCACAGAACGCTGTTACCTTCCCACCAAAGGTGGTCCCTATTTTTCTACTTGCATTTTTAACGTGCTTTCAAACTGCTAGGTTGGCAGAAACTGGGACAAGTAACGGGAGCTTACCCCATCACGCGGCATTAGGGATTCGCACCGCTGAACTGCCGACCTTTCAATCAACAAGCTCAGCTTCTTAGCCACTGAACCACCACGTCCCCCACTTATAACATATGCATGTCCTATTTTAGAATCATAACCTTGGAGGGATTCATTCAGGCCACAGAGTCCAATTTCCTGCACAATTTAGGAATCCAGATTAAAGCATCCCCAATAGATGACTGACAGGCATGAACTTTTTAAAAAACCTTATCCACTGAAGAGGAGCCTACATTTGGCTGGGGTTAATACTGGCTACTATTAGCTAATGCTCTCCACCATAAGCAACTATTCTTTTTCCATCCCATTCCTGACCTATGATGTGTGTGTGTGTGTGTGTGTGTGTGTGTGTGTGTATTATTACACACAGATAGGTACATAACTAATGTTTGTGCTGTTGTTTTAAAAAAACTGTACACTTTCTTAGAGTAGTACTGTTAGAAGAAGTGTGTATAAATGGAAAAAAGGAAATGAAGAGGTATTGGGTCAGTGGTGGGTTGCTCCCGGTTCGCACTGGTTCACAAGAACCGGTAGTTAAAATTTGTAGTAGTTCGGAGAACCGGTAATAACATTGGCTGGCCACGCCCCCGAACCGGTCCCCGGCTCGGTCGCCGCTCGGTTACCCTGCCCACCTCATCAGAGGCTTTTTTTTCTTTTTTACTTTTAAAAGCATTTTTTCTACAACCTCTTCAGCCAAAAAATACTTTTAAAAGTAAAAAAAAAAAAGCCTCTGATGATCATGTGGCTCAGCTGGGATCGTCAGAGGCTTTTAAAAGCATTTTTTCTACAACCTCTTTGGCCGAAAAGGTTGTAGGAAAAAAAATGCCTTTAAAAGCCTCTGGCGATCCCGGCTGAGTTGCTAGATCATCAGAGGCTTCTAAAAGCATTTTTTCTGCAACCTCTTAAGGTTGTAGAAAAAATGCTTTTAAAAGTTAAAAAAAAAAGTTGGCCTCGCCCACCCAGTCACATTACCCCCAAGCCACGCCCACAAAATAAACCAAGCCCACAGAATCAGTAGTAAAAAATTGTAGAACCCATCCCTGTTGGGTCCCTTATACTTAAGATCATTACTAAGTCTGCAAGTTCACTCTATTCTTACTGGGAAACAGTAATCTCTGCTCAAGCATAATTATATTAAAAAGTTATTGCTGCCATCAGAGGGCAGTATTTGCTACACAGTCTACAGTTTCAAGGGTTTTGTTGTTTAAAGAAGTAGCCACAGACGTATAGAGAAGGATGTTATTATCAATTTTTCAAGGTTTCTTCATTACAAATCCCAGATGTAGGCTTCATTTATAATTCAAATCATGATAAACTTGTAATAAACATAGATTAATATCTTTTAAATTAAATTACACATACAGAAGAAAACCTTAAATCAATGGGTCTGATATGAAAACACTAGTTTTTAGTGACCATAAGTTAGCTGTTGTTGCAAAAAATGTAGTTATGGGCAAATAAACATTTATTATTATAATAAATATATGTAGCAGCTACATTCAGTCATTGTTTCCTACATAATTATTTGGAACTCCAGGAGTAATTATGTCAAGCCACTGTCAGCTTTGGCCTCTTACATTCAATTTTTTTCTATGAAACCCGAAGAAAGATTAAAAAACTCTCACCTTTCAGAGATTTGTAATTTTAATTTAAGTAACTGTGATTAGCTGTAACTATGACTGAAAGAAACAGACATGGAACTGCTGCTCTGACAAGCCCTTATAAAGAAATATTCCAGATCAGAATGTGGTGGATAGAATTGAGATTTTAAAAGTGGATATTTTCATAGTCCTTTTGGCATATAAACCCAAAAAGCCTGTTCCAGTTTGTTCATATACGTCCAGTTAATTTACACTAAACTACTGAATTGTATTAACCGCATTAAGTTTCCAAATATAATTATGAAGTAGAAAAATAGCAGAAACTGAATATCAGCAGACTTAGGGGAAAGGACCACATTCTCACAAGGGAGAAAATTTGGCATATTATGAATATTAATCTCAATTAGTACTTTCAATTCTTACATTTTCTAATACTTTTATTAAAAATAGTCAATGATATTTTAAAGAAAAAGTCAGCCTCTATTTCTGAGCTTACAGACACACTGCCCTTTATGCAATGGACCTCATAAAGAAAAATCTTAAAGGAATTACTCTTTTTTTAAAGAAAAATCTTTCTTAACCAATCTTCTAAACAGATGAAAGGAACTAATGTCATGAGGATTTCCTCCCCCCCCCCAAAAAAACCAATGAGGTAGTACTGAAGGCATACAGATAGTCAACTTATGTCCAATTGACTAATCTATATGCTTCACCAACTATTCGAAGTTACAATGGACTCCCTCACAAAGGGATTTACGACCCAGTTTTGAAGTACCAATGTCAACACCCTGCCACATTTTGGGTGCTCAGCAACCCATCCATATTTACAGCTGTTTGCAGCATCCCATGGTTACATAACTGTGATTTACAATGTTTTTGCCAGAACTCAGTGTTAACTTCTAGTTTCTAGCAAAATCTGGCCCATAGCGAACAATGGGTTTAACGAACACCACAAAAAAATCATAAAATGGGTCTAGTTACATGGTGAGCTGCTTTACAACCGTCAAAACTTAACTGCCAGGATCAATTATGGTTGTAAATTAAGGATAACCTCTACATTGTTATAGATACATTTTGATACTTTTTTTCTGTGTGTTTTGTTATCTTTTATCTCAATTTAAACATGTATTTTGACCATATCCTATGCTTTGTTGAAAGTCCCAAGATAAAGCCTCTTTTACGTGTAGGATCTTAAATGTCAAAAGCAGGACTGGGAAATATGACTCCTGCCTTGATTATCCCTAACATCTCTCACAGTCTCAGTGCTCATCAAGGCTACTTTCCCAGTACCTATTTTTCAGTCAAAGCAACTTGTATACCATGGACAGCAAGGAAGCATACATGCCCTTTCTCTGCATGTCCAGAGCCTTCTTCAGAGAAGAAAGGAAAGAAAGAGAGAGAGAGAGAGAGAGAGAGAGAGAGAGAGAAAGAAAGAAAGAAAGAAAGAAAGAAAGAAAGAAAGAAAGAAAGAGAGAGAGAGAGAGAGAGAGAGAGAAAGAGAAAGAAAGAAAGAAAGAAAGAAAGAAAGAAAGAAAGAAAGAAAGAAAGAAAGAAAGAAAGAAAGAAAGACGGGCAATTGAAATTGCTATGTTGCAGTTTGAATTTTTAAAAAGAGGGGGGAAAGAAAAATAAAAAACTGATCTCCAGTAAATGATAGCACAAAATGATTTGGACAGTCTGAAGGGAAACTAAGATATGTGAAAGAGAGTTGGAAGCAAGTTTAGGAAGCTCGGAAGTGAGATGAGTTTAGGAGTTTAGAAGTCAGCCACAAAGAGAGATGGTTGGGTTCAGACTAAGTCACGTGGTTTTATTGAATAAACCATGGTTTACAAATCATAATTGCTAGGTTAATTAAACCACACAAACTGCCTAGCATGATGTGCAGGTGGGAAAAAGGGGCATTATTTTTATCGGCAGGGCTCAGTATTAATATAAATGATTAATTTTTATGTCCTTTGGCTGTTTCATCAAAACATTAAACTTGTATGTTCAAACGATGTTTCTGCCTTTACCAATTTGGCTTTCAAAGAGGTTTTGTTGTAGCATTTTGTGACTGCTCACTCACCTTGACAACCAGTACATACTGTTCACAAAACCAGATGTTTTCATAAATCAAAAAAGGTTCAACAGTCTTCCTTCTTCTTGCAAAATATTGCCCGTTACTGAAAATCAAATATTCTAGGAGATCTTTTGGTCTGATCCATAAAAACAGCTAAGTCTGAGGTATTAATACATCAACGGACTCTTTTCTAAAAAAAGGCACTGACATTAAATATCACAGATTACTTTGAAGAGAAACATCCTGTACCTGCTTTTTCATCTTGTTAGTGTTTATAGTTCTACTTTGCAATTCAGTTGTGGTGGTTGCTATAAACTCAAAAGAGATCTGAAGGCTTATTTGGAGCAGGGATATGATCAAAACAGACCTGAAAAGCCCAACCAGCTTGATGGTGTACTCACTTTGTCACACAGCTCTTCAAATGTGAAGTCTGCAATGGTTCCACATGCTTTATTCACTCTCAGTCCTCTGCCTTGTACTTTTAAAATCCTTGGTCTAGTTACTATGGGAACATGAACAAAGACTCAATCTTGTCTGGATAATTACTATAAAACTCATCTCTTACAGATAGGAAATGCATAGCTTGATGAATAATAGCACATGATTCAACACATAAATTAGACAAAATGCTGATACAATGACTGCCACTTGAGTGTGGCATCAACCCATATACAGCAGTAGAACTTATTAATTGGTCAGTGGAGATTGGGCATTGTGTTCTAAATGTATTCTCTTTCAAGAGAAATTAACTTACGTACAATCATTTTGTTTTTGAGCCAGCTCATCAAACAACTTATCCATGACAGCCTCCACATCAGCTTCACTTGTGCTACAGTGAAAAGAATAATAGAATATGAAATTAATAACACTTGAAGCCAACATCAAACAGCTGCCTGAGCTTGCTTAGCTTTCTGCCCATTTAAGAGAGAGAGACACAGAGAGAGAGAGAGACAGAGAGAGAGAACGAACAGGATGTTATGTTGTAAATACAAACATTAGATTTAGAATTCACTTAAAAAGCAGAGAACATTAACTCTCAGGTAGATAATTTCATTTTATTTACATTCATTGAAAGACTTCTACATTTCAAGCTGTCTCCATTAATATGACAAAGCAAGCAAGGCCATCCATGCAATATATGCACAACAATGAGACAGGCAGAGTCCTGTCTATATTTTATAAAAAAGGTAAAAGCTGACTGACATCTGAGAGGGAACCTTTTGGAATTATGTGTATTCATAACACAGACAACACTTAAAATAGATTGGAGTAAAACTGATCTCTCTTCTGCTGGCTACTGGAGTCCAGAATCAAGATTACAACCCTAAGACATTTTAGAATATCTATAACTCTTCTGAATATAATTTAGTTGATATATTCAAGGAGTTGATCAAAATAAGTCTTTTTACTTTTAATAAAAAGTCACCCAATATTTATAGTTCTTTTTATCAATTAAAAAAATAAATTATGCAATACTTTGCTTAAAATTTAGAAGGTGCTAAAAATTTAAAATGTTAATAGCAGCTGTTAAAATTTCCAAGCCAGATTTCCTATCAGATGCCTCTGGGGCATCTGTTGGTAGAGCTAGAAGTTTGGTTTCAACGTCACCCATTATGCAACTTAAGACAGCTGTCCAGAGCTGGACTAGCCTTTTTGATAAAAGACAATAAATTGCCATGTTAGTATAAATGCTATTACATCCTTGTATTTTTTATTTTCTGGAAGTAGAGAAGTATTGATAATTTTTATTTCCTCAACTGTCTGTGAGGGGTCTTTGGTCTCCAAAGATGCTAAAACAGAGTGAAAAAATCTCCCCCCTCCCCCTCTCTCCCTCTCGATTGGCAGCTGTTATAAACAGGCAAGAGGACAACCATTCAAATGCCAATACCACAAGCTATGATTTGCTACGCTGTGGTGTGTTCAATCCTTGGAGAGCAAAGAACCAATGGTGGCAGAAGTGGGATCCACGGCTGTGGTGTAATTCAAGACTATTGGCAGGGAGAAGCATTTCCTCCTGGCTGCAGCTGCTTTTCCAAAGCACAGGCAGTTTGGTCTAGTGATTAAGACACCCAGTAAAAAGCAAGAAATAGTGAGTCCTAAGTCCCATCTTAGCCATGAAAGCCTGTTGGGTAACCTTGGACCAGTCACTCTCTCTCAGCCCAATCCCAATCCCAAGGAAAATATATTGGATATGTTTGCCATCTCGAGTTATGTATCAACTTCACTCCCTCACACTGCCACTTGGTAAAGAGCAGAAGACAACAATTTTCTTTTCTCTTCATCCTTAGTTGGCAAAATATCTTGGCCACTCCCTGATAACCAATAGTGAGAGGCATAATATTTATTTCTTTCGTTACATTTGCATTCAGGAGCTCATGCAGCATATACCTGTATTTTTTGGAATATAAGATGCACTTCCCCCCCCCACCCCAAAAAGGGTGGAAATGTCTGTGCGTCTTATACAGCGAATGTTTTTTTTTTTTTTAATTTTGATTTATATGCCGCCCTTCTCCGGAGACTCAGGGCGGTTTACAATGCGTTAAGCAATAGCCTTCATACTTTTGTATATTTATACAAAGTCATCTTATTGCCCCCACAAACTGGGTCCTCATTTCACCTACCTTAGAAAGGATGGAAGGCTGAGTCAACCTTGAGCCTTGGAGAGATTCGAACCAGCAGTAAATTGCAGGCAGCTATGTTAATAACAGGGTGCGTAGACCACTGTACTATCAAGGCTCCACCCATCCATTGGCCCCCCCACCCTTCAGCTGTTTTTGACCTCCATGCGTCGCATTTTCGGCCTCCGCATGCCCCATTTACCGCCTGTTCCAGGCTGTGGGGATCGCCACAGTATATCGCTGCCAATCGCCGCCTCCACATGTTGTGTTTTTGCCTCTGCAAGCCCTGCTTTTGGCCTCTGTGCGGCGCATTTTTGGCCAGTTCCAGGCGGCAGGGATAGTCAGCGGCAGCAATCCCCGCCGCCTGGAACAGGATGAAAACACGACACGCAGAGGCCGAAAACAGGGTTTGCAGAGGCCGAAAACGCAATGCACGGAGGCACCAATGGGCTGTGGTGATCCCCGCAGCATGGAACAGCTGATTGGCAGTATTCTGGGAGGCTAATCCAACTGCCAATCAGCTGCTCGTGCTGAATCAGGCTGCAATAATGTGCTGAAGCTGACCAGGCTGTTTGCTGTTTGCTTGCAAGGACGCTAGCCAGATGAATACCAATGGTAGGCAGAGGCAGATTTTTTTTTCTTGTTTTTCTCCCCAAAAACTAATGTGCGTCTTTTACTCTGGAGTGTCTTATACTCTGAAAAATACAGTAGATGATGCTCCCTCCTTAATTTTTCTTCAAAACAAAAACTTAATCACATTGACTGTATAAAACGGAAGTGAATAGCCCAAAGTCAACCAGGGGCCTCTACTGTTGAGGGTACACTGGAATATGTATATCCCTTGTCTTACTCCAACACCTTAATCACAATGTCACATTGGTTCCTAGCTTTTAAGGGTAGGATCACGTTTATGATTGCTTACTATTGCAGCCTTTCATGCTCACACAAATTATGTTTGGTGAACTATGATGTATTGGTGATAAAACTCATGATTGGTGGGAGTTGTAATCCCAACGTATCTGGGACAAAATACACATAAGAAATATATTTATTAAGAGTGCTACATTAAAATTAGCATTCTGTAATTCTTGCCTATGAAGTGGCATGCAATGCCGGTTCTATGTATTCTTTCTCCCAAGCATCTACAGTATATATCCTTCACTGTAGTAAAATGTAATCTAGCCTCAGCATATCTTAAAATGACTCCTTCCAAAAATCTGTTATGGGAAATCCATTGGTGGGCTAGATGGAAAGACAGGTTTTCTTCAACTTACAACAGTTCGTTTAGCGACTTCGAAGTTACAACGGCACTGAAAAAAGTGACAGTTTTTCACATTTATAACCATTGCAGCATCCCTATGTTCATGTGATCAAAATTCAGACGCTTGGCAACTGACCCATACTTATGACGGTTGCCATGCCCTGGGGTCATGTGGTCACTTTTGCAACCTTCTGACAAGCAAAGTCAATGTGTAAACCAGATTCACTTAACAACCATTTTACTAACTTAACAATTACAGTGGTTTACTTAAAAGCTATGGCAAGAAAAGTTGTAAATGGGGCAAAACTCACTTAACAATTGTCTCGCTTAGCAACACAAATTTTGGACTCAATAATGGTCATAAGTTGAGGCCTACCTTTTTTAAAGGTACTTATTTATTGCTCACCAAAAATACAGATTTGTAGAATATTTAAATAGTAGTATAGATAGTCCAAAGGAAAGAATACAGAGTTGGATTAGGACTGCTCTTTTTACTAGTGGAGAACATTTTAAAATCCTTATAGTCGTATAAAACAATACCATAATAAAAGCCAGAAGATTTATTTTTCTATTGGCTTGATTAAAACCACTTTCCATTTCAGATGTTGGAACAACTTTATATCACATATACTTGTATTCCCAAATTGCTCTGAGGGTAAACTATCATTAGGGAAAGAAGAAATCAGAGCTATACAGATAAATTGTACTGATAGTTGTATTATAGCTTCATTTTTATCATTATCAGAAATACAGAATTCTGAAGTCAATCAACATCCTAGATACAAGCAGATCATCTGTCAAAATAAGACTAAGTTTTGAATCCCCAAATGTTAACACCAAATAGTAAATGAGCCCCTATTTATATAAATAATTACTTTACTACAATAAGGATTCTCGTTTATTTACCAGGGAATTGAACACTCTTTGCAAGAGGATATTCATTGCTTTATAGCCATCTGTCACTTCCATTCTGCAAGCACCATACCTCCCCCCACTTCTAATTAGCCTTAATTCAGTCACAGATTTGAAAAAAGATGTTACTGGAGATACTGGAAATATTATCTGATGGTATGAGCAATGTCTTTAGGATTTATAGCAGTTGACTATGGGACTAACTTGGTTCAGTTTTCCTCCCCCTCTAAAAGTTGCTGTGACTGTAATAAAATGCACAGTCAGTCATAGTTTCTACCTACAGATAGTACAGCTTTCCTGCAGCAGGCAGTGCACGCTTCCTGTAGTCAATTCCAGAATCCAGTTGGATGGTGTTGCAGTATTTCTGAGCAGAGAAACAAAAGAAAGGTGGCATTACTTCTCTTAGTCAGACGCTGCAGATGTAACTTTGCATTTGTTGTTCTCCCAACAACAACAAAAAAACCGTATGCGCAAAAATAAGCACTTATGTAACAGTACTGGCAAAAAAAAAAAAAGCGCATCTGAGGCAAATAACCTGTATAAATAAAACTTGCATATCTGAAACTTGCTCACAAAAGCATATATGGAATTCTTACGCTTTTTAAAATAATAGCTGACACCCCGGGGCTCTACGTTTATTACCAAAACAATAAAAGAAGTGCAATATCAAACATTCTTTTCTAAACAAAAAGCTGGTATTTTCTTCAAAATTTAAATCCATGCCCCGATTTGTACTTCGTTGCGTATCTTCCTGCCATCTATTCTTTTTTTAACTTTTAAAAATAATACATCCAACAGAAACAACACATGTATTAATTGGATCTCTCTTTGGGTAACTGACTTCTCCATCATAGGACTGATTAAAGCCTACAGGCATGATTGCATTCCATACTCACTAATCACCATCAGGGATTCCTAATCAGCAACTAAAGAACTTTTAACGGGAGTCTTTGTATTTTTCACCCTTAATTTTCAAAGCTACAATCCTAACACAGTTGGTTTACATTAAAATCTTGATATGATTGTATTTGATCTGTTAGTGTTAAAAGCCTACTCTTGTTCCCTCTGAATTGGTAGCATAGTCAGGTAGAGCTGCTTGTAGTGCCAAAGAAACGATTTCACTTTCACAAATATGAACTGTGACTTCTTACCTCATTTAGCCTCAAGGCTATGAATTATTCAGCTATTCAGATTATTGGGTGTTGGTTTACTACTTCTACTTAGCATAGTTGTGTATGTGTATCATTCAATCATATTCTAAAATTTAATTAGGATGGTTAAAAAAGTTCCCTCACATGCACCAAGCACATCCAAAAAATCTTTTTGTCTTTTCTTTTGAAAGATAAAACATATTTATAAAGCTTTCCCTTCAGCTTAAAAAGGTAGAAATAGTGTTATGTGGGTAACAAACACAGCAGTGTTTTAAGTTAATATTGCTAATATTGCTATTGAATGAATTTTTTCTCCATCAAATAGCAGTGGCTCTCAATGGACTACTTATTTTAAATGTGTTGGGACATTATGGGTAATCGGTTTTAAATTGGGGGAAGCCAATATAAATTTAATTTTGTTTTTATAGTATTTTAATGTTTATATTGTATGTTTTTTAATTTTGGCTGTTCACCGCCCCGAGTCCTTCGGGAGAGGGGGCGGTATAAAAATTTAAAAAATAAATAAATAAATAAATAAATTAGTAGAAAACGAGTTAAGTCCCATCACAAAATCCACATTCCTGGTTATACTAACCATGCAGAAACATACACATCTTTCAGATATATCAACAGAAAGGTTTTCCTTTATTTTGCGATATATCAGATCTAGCAGTGATGTGGTATGATGTCTTGCTTCATCAAGGGAAAGACGACTTTTGATCTTCTCCTGAAGGATAGCATTCCTTCCATAATTACAATGAACAGACTTGCTCTAGATCAGGAGTCTGCAACCTTAAATACCCAAAGAGCCATTTGGCCCCGTTTCCCACAGAAAAGAAAACACTGGGAGCCACAAAACCCTTCCTGTGCCTGACTATTTCTTGAGCGGCCACAAAACTAGCATATGTAATTGAATTAAATGTTCTGTTTTCTTCTGAAACTTTTCTTTTCTTTGATTTATCCATGGTTGGCCTTCCGGGAGTTGAAAAGCTCAATTAACAGTGTGCCAGTGGGTGTTGCATGTTGGCAGTTGTGACACCTATTTTGAGTGACAGGGAACCGCAGCAGAGGGGTGAAAGAGCCACATGTGGCTCCAGAGCTGCAGGTTGCTGACACCTGCTCTAGATTGTGTCTCCGAGACTCTGCAATAAATATTCCCTAGGTCAATGTTTTTCCAACTTGGCAACTCTAAATATGTGGGCAGAGTCAAGTTTTCTAGAAGTGAACCAGCACACGATAACAGTGCTAGTACAGCAGTAGCACATCTACTATATTTCAAGAAAAAAAAATCAATAATGTTTTTACAGTTTTTCAAACACCCTCCAAAGAAGACTAGAAAACTTGCTGGCCAGTGATGCTTGATTTCTAAAAGTAGTAACAGGAAATATAGATAATGCAATAAATAAAATAAGAATTTAATTTACATCTTGCGGTACATTTTTCCATTAAATATATAAATCAGATTTGTCAAACTTCATTAAAAGGAAAGGACAGGGAACCTACTCCTCTAATGGACATTTTAGACTGGCCTAGAGTTCCCCTAACCTCTGACCATGGGCCATGTTAACTTGAACTTAATGTTAGATGTAAATCAACACATCAAGAAGGTTCAGGATATATGGGAAACACTGGAATTAAATGCCATGGGAAATTTACTGAATTTACTATCCTGTAAGCCAACAAGTATAGTTTTGGTTCTGGTTGGAAAAACAGCATTTGGGAGCTAATCTAAAGAAATGGCAACACATGAAATCCTATTCATGTAGATGGGTGTTCACTCCTATGATGGCACTTCCTCTTCCTTGTCTCCACTCTATTCCAGGGAAAACTATTTCCATTGAGGAGTTGACAAAATACCCTTGATTATAGTTTGTATAATGTACAAACACTATAGATTAAAATGGATGAAAATATATAGCAGAAAATGTAAACAACTACGTGAATCTTAAGAGAGCAAGACGTTGGTTCAATTTACATACAGTAAAAGCGTTAGAAAAAACATTATGCTCAATTGTGATTCAAATAACTATTAAATTTCAAATGCATTTGATTTTTATATTATAAATGGCTGATATTTAAAAAATTCTTGCTCAAATTCCCAGCTAGTTGTAGCTCTAGTTATAAGACTGTGCTCTTGAAAGCTATCTTGAGCTCAATTATTTTTATATGATTTTAGGAAAGATTTCATAGGCCCTATAAAGGGTCAGCTTGATGACTGGATTAGACGCAGAGCTCAGAGATACCTCATTTTTGCTTCAGCAGCTAGATTTTTGGAACAGGGGAAATCCTGAAAAAAGTATCTCTATTGATGTTATTTGACTGGTAAGTGACTGAAAGTTAGTGGTCATATGATTGTCAGGAGATAAATTTTCCTCGATAACCAACCATTCCCAGATTCTTAGTGTAATTTTGGGTAGAGAAAAATCTGTTTATTTTCTGACACTATATATTGTCTTGAATATGGCTTATTGTATAAAAATAACATGCAAACATTCAAGTAAGCTGATTCAAACCACATCCTATTCAGGGGCAGGTTTCAAAACCTGTCGCTACCAGTTCACTCGTGGGTGTGCGCGCACTCGTGCGTGCGACGCTTCTGTGCATGCACAGAAGCGTCCAGGAAGGTGGGCGGAGCCTCCTACCGCCACTACCAGTTCGCCCGATCCGGGGCAAACCGGCAGCACCCCACCGCTGATCCTATTATACTTCCTGAGTTTTAAGTATTTCTGACCAAACAAATTGGATAAAATACAACAAAATTTTATTGCAAACAAAAATATTTCTTCTATCACTAGAATTGTTTAAATCATGTAAGCCTTGGAATGGAGGACTGCTGAAGGAAGTGGGATTTACAAATACTGTTCCTCCCTCTCTTTCACTAAGTAGTACATCCTGAGTAAACTATTAAGTACGATGATTTCCACAGTGCAATAAGACTCTGGATCCAGTTGATTCCTTCCATTTCCCTTCACGTTTTGTGCTAGCTAATCTAATCCACTGTTTGCCTCATTGTCCGCCCTTCATATCTTTTACCAATTAATCTAACTCCTGAGAATCTTTCTTAAGTCTTCTCTTTCTTTTGGACTTAAAATATAACTGGTGGTCACACACTTCAATTCTACACATAGCAGATGCTGTGCTAAAGCTCAGCCTGAGTGTATGTTGTGAGGTAAAATGCATCTTTTAATCTAATCAAAAGACCAAAGATTCTGATTTATGTGATAACCAAAGTCACAGAAAAACGATTATGTTATGCTTTGCTCATAGCAAACAATAGGAGAGTAGCAATATATTGTTTCCTCCTCATGCATTTGACCTTGTGATGACTGTGATGGATATAATTAAGGTAAAAGTTCTTTAAAATAAAGATTTTTCCCTTCTCAGGAGAACATACATCTCTGTAACAAAAACAACAACAACAACAAAAAAAAAAAAACAGAAAAAGAAGAATCATCCAGCATTTTGTGAAATAAAAAACTTGGTCAAACTATTGTTCAATGTGCACTTAGTCTTTGTCTTCATGTTCTGATGTTGTTCAAACAGCAGACTTAAAAGAAAATAATGTCAATGAATCCTCCCAGGCACTATACATGACCTCTAGGGTAATTAGCAATCACTGAAAAGCAACAAGACTAAAATGTTCTATTCTTTATTACTGTCAGCTCTTATCTTGATCAGCATTTTAATAAAGATGGTTCGTTCCGAAGACAGTTCCATGAATCAGTCATAATTACATCCTGACACACAGTGAATAGTAAAGCAATACTAAATATCACTTCATCAACCTTTCTAACCTTTATGCAAGTATTAACAGTAAATAATTTTTACACAATCCAACAACAGAAAATCTGCATATATCTTAGCTTTGTACAGACTCTACCCCAAGTGAATTTCCTGTGACCTATACCAGCAAAAACACAATTGGGCATAATTATCCAAGCTTCAGAGATATTCAGGTGTTGCTTTTTTCAGAGTGTACAACTTCAAGTACAAAAGGCTACTTGTTCTATATAATAAGCCCTCAAAGGGTTAAATTAAACACTCGTTTCCTTTTCCTAATAACAGCAACTCTAAAGCATGGCAAGCTCATGCTGAAAAACTCATGGCATTCCTTAACGTAACTGTTTAGTTCTATATTTTGAATACCGGAAATCTAAAAAGACATCCTAAATGGATTAAATCTTTGAGCTAAGATACACAGCAATCTGATTAT